AAGTTCTTGTAATAAATTTATGGTTTCGGTTTTTAGATTTTCGATTTATTTTGTGTTGTGAATTGTTTGTGTCTATCAGGTAAATATTTTTTTAAATGGATCCTGCAAAAATTAATATTTTACAAATAATTTCGATGAACAATTTTTCTGACCCTCATTTGATTTTTAAATCAGACTTGATAAACACTGAAACTAATAACATGACTACACCTAACATCATTACACCAACTATTAATTTCAATCAAGAATTAGCCAATTTCTTGAATGAAATTGATAATAGTGACATCATAAACACAGACAATCTTTTTACACCATTGGAAATAGAAAACTTTGCTGATTTAAACAAATTTTTAACAGATGTCGAAAATAAAGAAATTGATTTTGACGAAATATTTTTAGATGAACTCACGAATGACTCTATTTCCGTTTCAAAATTTGAGGAGACGTTAATGCAGAATAGTGAATGTAATAATTCTTTTAATACTGATAAACATAAAGTAATTAATAATTTTGATGATGAACTAGATTTAGTAATTGAATGCATTAACGACTCCAAAAATGAGGGTCAGACTAGTTCCTATCAAAACATATCTCCTTTTTCACCGACACACTCTCAAAAAATAGAGTTTAGTTCCGATGAAAAAGGAGAAACGTTTAAGAATAAAATCGAAAATAGTAAACCAAGCTTTATTATCAACAAAAATAAGAAAACTTTTAAAAAATATTTAAAACCATTTTCTAAATTAAAAACTCTCAGCTTCGCTCTCGAACAATTTATAAAACAAACAAACATAACAAGTAAAAATAATGCAGAACTACAATATTTAAAAAAATCTTTCGATAAGTTCGTGGATTCATTTAATTAAATATTTACATTTTTTCATTTATTTTTTAATTAAATTATATTTGTACATTCTTTTTTCCAAACTTAACCTTACATACAATAAAACCATAAAATTATTTTACAGTATAAAATTGAAAGATGTTTATTTGTCCATCGTGTAAAAAAATCTTTACCCGTAAAGACAACCTATCTCGCCATTTAAAGAGTGCCTGCAACAAATCTTTCTTTCTAAACAGATGGTTGACAAAGTCTACACCTGAAGAAAAAAGTAAGATTTTTCCATTTTATGTTATAACCTTTTGAAATTAACAAAATAATTGTCTTTATAGAGAAATATTGTCATATATAGAGAGTCTTTATAGAGTCGTTATAGAGTCTTTATAGAGTCAATATCACAAAATTTATGGTTTGGTCATCTGCGATCAAACACACACAAAAATAATTCTAAAATAATTGAACAACCAGGAGTACAAATTATTAAATCTGCATTCAAAGAACGAATAATAACATATAGATTATCTATGGAGGAGATGATCTTAAATGTTAAAAATTACTTTATAAAATTGGAACAAAAGATTCTTCGTATATTTGAGGATCAATTAAGAAAACATACATGCATTAAAATTAATATGGAGCTTTTTGGCTATTATTATAATCCAAGTACTGAAAATCATTCAACACTCCATTTAAAGTGATTTGCAATAGTGCCGAAACAAAGGATTTGATAGAAGAATTTGTAACAGTTATTGACAATAAGGCAGATGAGTTTGCAGAAAAAGATTCGGGTAAGTGTTTAACTTTAATCTAAAATATATATGTAATTAATTTTTATTTCTGGTTTCAGGATGGATCTTACTTAATTTTATTCATTTGAAATTAACATCAATAAATTCAATCCTTTGAGAGCATCATCATTTATTGAACTACCTCCTGAAATAGTACGACGTCAAGCTGTAGTTAACATAAGAAATAACGATGACTACTGCTTCGCATGGTCCATAGTTGCAGCTCTTCATACTCCAACAGGTGTTGACTTTGTTACATCATCATACCCTCATTATTCAACGGTTTTGAACACTGCAGGTATTAACTTTCCAATATCATTAAAAGACATCAAGAAATTTGAAAATCAAAACAATATTTCTATCAATGTATACGGTTTAGAAAAATATTATAATAAAATTTCTAATAATGAGGAATATGAAGTAATTGGTCCTCTACATTTCACAAATGCTAAAAAAAATATTCATGTTAATTTATTATTGATAAACGATGATGATGGAAATCTTCATTATTGCTACATTTCCGATCTTTCGAAATTAATTTCTAAACAACTTAGTAAACACAATGGTAGAAAATATTTATGTGAAGGATGTTTGCAATATTTTGATACAGAACAAAAATTACAATACCATAATAGTTATGATTGTGATCATGTTAAAATTAATTTGCCTTCTAAAGAACTAGTTAAAGATAAATATGGAAATGTGGCATATGAAAATATATTAAAATTTGTTAATTATCAAAAACAAATGGAAGTTCCTTTTGTGATTTATGCAGACTTTGAATGTATTTTAAAACCATTAAATAATAATGAAAATGTAGAAGATCCAAATAGTTCATATACTGTAAAAAAATTTGAACATATTCCATACTCTTTTGCATATTATATCAAATGTTCATTTGATGATGATTATTCTAAGTTTGAAAAATATAGAGGTTTGAATAGCGAAAAAGTTTTTATAAATTCTCTAGAACAAGATGCGTTAAATTTGTAACACACATTTTTAAAGACTCCTAAGAAAATGAATACTCTAACAGAATTAGAACAAACTACACATAACAATGCTAAAAACTGTCATATTTGTGATAAGCCACTTTTAGGGGATAAAGTTGCCGATCATTGTCACATTACAGGCAACTATAGAGGACCAGCTCATTCTTTGTGTAATATAAATTATAAAATTCCTAATTTTATTCCAGTTATAATGCACAACTTACGTAATTACGACAGCCACCTATTTTTAAAGAATATGTGTTCAAATAAAGAACAACTATCAGTAATTCCCCAAAATAAAGAGAAATATATTTCTTTTGAAAAACACATTCTCGTAGATAATTATTTTGATAAACATACAAAAAATTAAAAAAAAAGAAATTTATCATTGAGATTTATCGACTCCTTTCAATTTTTATCATTTTCTCTATCTAATTTAGCAGATACTTTGATAGATGAACAATGTAAAGAAATAAAAAAGATTTTCGAAGATGAGGAACAATTTAAACTTATTCGTCAAAAAGGTGTATTTCCATATAGTTATATTGACAGTTTTGAAAAATTAGAGGAAACTGCTTTAGCTAAAAAAGATCAGTTTTTTAACAGTTTAACAGATGAACATATTACTGACGAGGAATACCAAAGAGCTCTTAAAGTTTGGGATCTTTTCGAATGTGAAAGTATAGGAAATTATTCAGATATTTATTTGCTATCAGATACTTTACTTTTAGCTGATATTTTCGAAAATTTTCGAAAAACATGTTTGTCTACTTATAAACTAGACCCTGCACACTTTTATACTTTTCCCGGAAGGAGGCTGAGGGGATATAGCAGGATTGATGACCTAAGATGAGAAAGAACTGGTTGGATAGGAATGCAACCAGTAGAAGGTTAAAGTAGGGAGCAAGTATAAAACCGTCTGCAGTTACAACAGATTGTGTACTTTCAAGAAGTTCTTGTAATAAGTTTATGGTTTCGGTTTTTAGATTTTCGATTTATTTTGTGTTGTGAATTGTTTGTGTCTATCAGGTAAATATTTTTTTAAATGGATCCTGCAAAAATTAATATTTTACAAATAATTTCGATGAACAATTTTTCTGACCCTCATTTGATTTTTAATTCAGACTTGATAAACACTGAAACTAATAACATGACTACACCTAACATCATTACACCGACTATTAATTTCAATCAAGAATTAGACAATTTCTTGAATGAAATTGATAATAGTGACATCATAAATACAGACAATCTTTTTACACCATTGGAAATAGAAAACTTTGCTGATTTAAACAAATTTTTAACAGATGTCGAAAATAAAGAAATTGATTTCAACGAAATATTTTTAGATGAACTCACGAATGACTCTATTTCCGTTTCAAAATTTGAGGAGACGTTAATGCAGAATAGTGAATGTAATAATTCTTTTAATACTGATAAACATAAGGTAATTAATAATTTTGATGATGAGCTAGATTTAGTAATTGAATGCATTAACGACTCCAAAAATGAGGGTCAGACTAGTTCCTATCAAAACATATATCCTTTTTCACCGACACACTCTCACAAAATAGAGTTTAGTTCCGATGAAAAAGGAGAAACGTTTAAGAATAAAATCGAAAATAGTAAACCAAGCTTTATTATCAACAAAAATAAGAAAACTTTTAAAAATATTTAAAACCATTTTCTAAATTAAAAACTCTCAGCTTCGCTCTCGAACAATTTATAAAACAAACAAACATAACAAGTAAAAATAATGCAGAACTACAATATTTAAAAAAATCTGTCGATAAGTTAGTGGATTCATTTAATTAAATATTTACACTTTTTCATTTATTTTTTAATTAAATTATATTTATACATTCTTTTTTCCAAACTTAACCTTACATATAATAAAACCATAAAATTATTTTACAGTATAAAATTGAAAGATGTTTATTTGTCCATCGTGTAAAAAAATCTTTACCCGTAAAGACAACCTATCTCGCCATTTAAAGAGTGCCTGCAACAAATCTTCCTTTCTAATCAGATGGTTGACAAAGTCTACACCTGAAGAAAAAAGTAAGATTTTTCCATTTTATGTTATAACCTTTTGAAATTAACAAAATAATTGTCTTTATAGAGAAATATTGTGAAGAATGCAAAGAGTCAATATCACAAAATTTATGGTTTGGTCATCTGCGATCAAACACACACAAAAATAATTCTAAAATAATTTAACAACCAGGAGTACAAATTATTAAATCTGCATTCAAAGAACGAATAATAACATATAGATTATCTATGGAGGAGATGATCTTAAATGTTAAAAATTACTTTATAAAATTGGAACAAAAGATTCTTCGAATATTTGAGGATCAATTAAGAAAATATACATGCATTAAAATTAATATGGAGCTTTTTGGCTATTATTATAATCCAAGTACTGATAATCATGATGTAAAATCATTCAACACTCCATTTAAAGTGATTTGCAATAGTGCAGAAACAAAGGATTTGATAGAAGAATTTGTAACAGTTATTGACAATAAGGCAGATGAGTTTGCAGAAAAAGATTCGGGTAAGTGTTTAACTTTAATCTAAAATATATATGTAATTAATTTTTATTTCTGGTTTCAGGATGGATCTTACTTAATTTTATTCATTTGGAAATTAACATCAATAAATTCAATCCTTTGAGAGCATCATCATTTATTGAACTACCTCCTGAAATAGTACGACGTCAAGCTGTAGTTAACATAAGAAATAACGATGACTACTGCTTCGCATGGTCCATAGTTGCAGCTCTTCATCCTCCAACAAGTGTTGACTTTGTTACATCATCATACCCTCATTATTCAACGGTTTTGAACACTGCAGGTATTGACTTTCCAATATCATTAAAAGACATCAAGAAATTTGAAAATCAAAACAATATTTCTATCAATGTATACGGTTTAGAAAAATATTATAATAAAATTTCTAATAATGAGGAATATGAAGTAATTGGTCCTCTACATTTCACAAATGCTAAAAAAATATTCATGTTAATTTATTATTGATAAACGATGATGATGAAAATCTTCATTATTGCTACATTTCCGATCTTTCTAAATTAATTTCTAAACAACTTAGTAAACACAATGGTAGAAAATATTTATGTGAAGGATGTTTGCAATATTTTGACACAGAACAAAAATTACAATACCATAATAGTTATGATTGTGATCATGTTAAAATTAATTTACCTTCTAAAGAACTAATTAAAGACAAGTATGGAAATGTGGCATATGAAAATATATTAAAATTTGTTAATTATCAAAAACAAATGGAAGTTCCTTTTGTGATTTATACAGACTTTGAATGTATTTTGAAACCTTTAAATAATAATGAAAATGTAGAAGGTCCAAATAGTTCATATACTGTAAAAAAATTTGAACATATTCCATACTCTTGCATATTATATCAAATGTTTATTTGATGATGATTATTCTAAGTTTGAAAAATATAGGGGTTTGAATAGCGAAAAAGTTTTTATGAATTCTCTAGAACAAGATGCGTTAAATTTGTATCACACATTTTTAAAGACTCCTAAGAAAATGAATACTCTAACAGAATTAGAACAAACTACACAAAACAATGCTAAAAACTGTCATATTTGTGATAAGCCACTTTTAGGGGATAAAGTTGCCGATCATTGTCAGATTACAGGCAACTATAGAGGATTAGCTAATTCTTTGTGTAATATAAATTATAAAATTCCTAATTTTATTCCAGTTATAATGCACAACTTACGTAATTACGACAGCCACCTATTTTTAAAGAATATGTGTTCAAATAAAGAACAACTATCAGTAATTCCCCAAAATAAAGAGAAATATATTTCTTTTGAAAAACATATTCTCGTAGATAATTATTTTGATAAACATACAAAAAATTAAAAAAAAAAAGAAATTTATCATTGAGATTTATCCACTCCTTTCAATTTTTATCATTTTCTCTATCTAATTTAGCAGATACTTTGATAGATGAACAATGTAAAGAAATAAAAAAGATTTTCGAAGATGAGGAACAATTTAAACTTATTCGTCAAAAAGGTGTATTTCCATATAGTTATATTGACAGTTTTGAAAAATTAGAGGAAACTGCTTTACCTAAAAAAAAGATCAGTTTTTAACAGTTTAACAGATGAACATATTACTGACGAGGAATACCAAAGAGCTCTTAAAGTTTGGGATCTTTTTCGAATGTGAAAGTATAGGAAATTATTCAGATATTTATTTGCTATCAGATACTTTACTTTTAGCTGATATTTTCGAAAATTTTCGAAAAACATGTTTGTTTACTTATAAACTAGACCCTGCACACTTTTATACTTTTCCCGGTTTATCTTGGGAAGCTTGTTTAGAAGAAGCATAGAACTGGAATTACTGATAGATCCAGATATGATACATTTTTTCAAAAATAGCGTTCGTGGTGGAGTAAGTTCATGCATAACACGGAAATCAGAGGCAAATAATCCTTTTCTATCAAAATTTGATTCAACAAAACCTAATAAATATATAATGTACTATGATGCAACATATTTATACGGTTTTGCAATGTCCCAATATCTGCCAACAGGTGATTTTGTTTGGTTAACCGAAAAAGAAATAAAAAATCTAGATATTTTTTCAATTTCTAATACATCTAGCAAAGGATATGTTTTAGAAGTTGATTTAGAATATCCTGAACACCTTCATGACTATCACAACGATTTTCCTTTTTGTCCAGAAAATTATAAACCACCTAATTCAAAATCTGCAAAATTAATACCAAATTTAAACAATAAATCAAAATATGTAATTCATTACCAATTACTAAAACAATGTTTGCAAAACGGTCTTAAGTTAACTAAAATCCATAGAGTGATACAATTTTCTCAATCTGCTTGGTGGAAAAAATTTATAGATTTAAACACAAAGTTACGTAATGAGTCTATTAAATGAATTTGATCGCCACACGTACAAATTAGCAAATAATAGTATATATGGAAAAACAATGGAAAATGTGGATAGGAGAGTCGATATAAGACTTGTTTCCGAATGGGAAAAAAATAAAAGAAAAGATGGAGCTGAAAATTATTAATATAGTTAAAAATAATTAATATAGCAAAGCCATATTTCAAGGACTTCAACAATTTTCTCAGAAAACTTAGTCGCTATTCAAATGAAAAAAATACTAGTTACTTATAATAAACCAATATATGTTGGATTTTCCATACTAGATATTGTCGCGACCTAGCTGGGGGTTGTTTGCTAGGGTCGCTATACCAGGTTCTCTCTCTCAATCAAAACAACCATTGAATAAAATATACATTTATTTAATATAAAGTTCACAGTATAATACAATTTTGGGGAATGCCAAGACTTAATGGTTTAGTTAAGTAAGTACTTACAGGAACATCTTCAGTCTGCGCTGTCTTCTACTAACGGACTGATAACGCGAATTACTGACTGTATAATACGACTCACATCGATGGACTCACTTCTGGACTCTCTTCAGCATACATTTTTATATTTTCTATCCCTCGTGGTCATCGCCGGTTACGTCGTTCAATCTGTTTTCATCTAATTACATTCACCCGGCTATGACCATGAGGCAATCGAACTTTGGTAGCCTGCGTTTGATTATCGACCTGAGATTGTTGTATTTTTAATTGTTTAATTATTAATGTTATTTAAAAACATATCTGGGTCGATGTCATGCAGATAACCGATCTCTTGGGCCTATATCAACTTGTTTTTTCCCAATTTGATCTAAACTCAAGTTGACATCTATTTAAGTCTTGACATATCCCCCGGGCTTGGGAGCTGGTCCCCAGCGATAAAAAAAATATTCTATAAAGATTTTTTTTTTATTTTATATTAATAAATTCTTTACAAATACAAAAATAAAAGTTAATTACAATGCTACAGTGATCCTGAAAGTCATAATAAAAAAAAATTATTTTTATCGTTCACTCTTTAGTCCTGTACAATAATAAGGGTCCTACTCGATACCACCCGTATTGAAGAAGTGCGTCGTCCTTGTACGTTGCGTCCTGTTGCGTCCATTTCAACCATAGACTTTAACCGTAGCTCATATCAGTTAAGTAATGCACACGCCAACACTGCCTTCACCTTTGTTTGTCTGGTTGCCTTCTTATCCATCGTATACTTCTCTCCGTCCGCGCGCTTTGTTTCAGTGTCAAACGGGCGACGGCCTTTTGAAATTGCTGGAATCAGCGGAATACTGGACCATTATTTTTTCTTTTCTTCATTCGTGTACTGTTTTCATTCGAGCCAAACAAAATTTACTTGTTACTTACCCGGCGCCTCCACCATATGTCGCGACCTAGCTGGGGGTTGTTTGCTAGGGTCGCTATACCAGGTTCTCTCTCTCAATCAAAACAACCATTGAATAAAATATACATTTATTTAATATAAAGTTCACAGTATAATACAATTTTGGGGAATGCCAAGACTTAATGGTTTAGTTAACTAAGAACTTACAGGAACATCTTCAGTTTGCGCTGTCTTCTACTAACGGACTGATAACGCGAATTACTGACTGTATAATACGACTCACATCGATGGACTCACTTCTGGACTCTCTTCAGCATACATTTTTATATTTTCTATCTCTCGTGGTCATCGCCGGTTACGTCGTTCAATCTGTTTTCATCTAACTACATTCACCCGGCTATGACCATGAGGCAATCGAACTTTGGTAGCCTGCGCTTGATTATCGACCCGAGATTGTTGTATTTTAATTGTTTAATTATTAATGTTATTTAAAAACATATCTGGGTCGATGTCATGCAGGTAACCGATCTCTTGGGCCTATATCAAATTGTTTTTTCCCAATTTGATCTAAACCCAAGTTAACATCTATTTAAGTTTTGACAATATTTCAAAAACTGTCATGTACGATTTTTTTTATAATTTTTTAAAACCTTTGTATAAAGATAATGTGTCTCTTTTGTATACTGATACAGATTCTTTTATTCTGGAAGTGACAACAGAAAATGTTTACCATGATATGAATAGAAATATTCATAAATTTGATACCTAATTATGTACCCAATAATATGCATAATATGCCAATAACACAATCAGTGGTTGGCAAATTTAAGGATGAATATGCTGGTAAACCCATTGTAGCTTTCTATGGTACAGGAGCAAAAGCTTACTGTGTAAAAACCGAAAATGGTTTAATAAAGAAAGCCAAAGGTATAAAAAACATGCTATTAAAAAAATGCAGTTGTGACTTTATCCACTACAAAGATGTTGTGGAAAATAATTCTAAAATTTTTTCTCTATGTATGTGTTTCGTTCTAGACTACATACAATTTTTACGGAATTAATACATAAAATTGCATTGAATTCCGAGGACGATAAAAGATATCAAATACCATATGACTATAAAACACTTGCTTGGGGTCATCATGATATTTCATTTTATCAGTGGAATGCTGATCATCTAGACCTCAACATAATTTTAAATAATATTTAATTTAATATTATTTCTTTTAATTTAAACATTTAATATGATTCATTGTGATTGTATTTTGTATTCCTCTCCTAAATGATTTAACTCCCTCATTAATTTAATACATTAAATTAATGAGTTAAAAATGAGTTAAAACTCATTAATCTAATACTTAAATTAAACAGTTAAAACATAAATATTTATTAATATTAATTTATTATTCCCTTCAGAATGTTTTAAACTTATCATAATTTAAACATATATTAGTTATAGAGTTATCAAATTATAATTAATTATATAGGAACAATTTATAATTCATGTATTTTAGTTTTAAGAATGTAGTGACTAATATAATTATTTTATATGGTATATAAGTTTTATTTTAATTAAAAATATACTTTTGTATTGATAATGCATTTTAATAAAAATATACCTACTTATAAATACATATTGTTTTGACAATAATATTTCATTTCTTATTAACCTTTCTTAAGATGTGTTTGGAAAGTTTTGATAAAGATATTGGTGATGTTACTTATAAAACCTATGAAAATCGACTTTCTACTTTTAAAAACTGGAATGGAAAATTGGAACCTGAGGTATTAGCAGGAGCAGGCTTTTATTATATTTCATATAGTGACGTATGCAAATGTTACTATTGTGGAACTGAAATTTATGAATGGATCTATGATGACTGTCCTATAGAAGAGCATCACAAAATTTCTCCATTATGTA